GACTCAAACTCATGAACCAAACCACGAGTTCATGACCTGAGCCGAAGTCGGACGCTCAACCAACTGAGCCACCCAGGCGCCCCTGGATCAGAAGTCAAAAAAGGAATATTTATATACAGTATGATAACTTCTTTGCTTCCAGAGAGTGGGCTGGAGGGTAGCTGATGCTAGAAAGATATTATTTATCCTTGGAAACATTAACTAACTATGAGAACCTGCTAGTGTCAGGGCAAAGTGAGGCAGGAAGCTACTGAAAGTTCTTCAAGTATACCAGCAACATCTGAAATACTTACTGTTTTCTGTAAGCGAAGAAGACATCCACAAGCTTAGGCAGAATATGTGTCAGATTTGGGGACCTTGGGCTACTTTTGCCAATGTCAGCCTTTTAAAATGTTGCTTGTACTTTTAAAATGTGTGTAGTGAGCATATAGTAGGTGATGTCAACTCACACATAATTTGTTTAATAACCCCTGAGCTATGTCCCATTGGCCCACTTTATAGATGAAAGAAACTGCAGGATTTTATCATCCTGCCAATTGTCTTTTGGGCAACTGGTAAAAATAAATTTGTCATCACTTCAGTATATATGACCTTGTATTGTCCTAGTTACTTATGTGATGATCTTGCCCCCTAATATAACTGTTGACTCCTTAAGGAGGGTCAGCACAGGCCTCAGGAGGCCATAATCATGCTCTGATGCTTCCCTGTCCATTGACAGGCTGTGCAGCTTTGGATAAACTGCTCAACCTCACTGGGCTGTATCTGTAAAGCTAGGAAAATGAAAGAGAGCCCTGAAAAGTTCCCTCCCTCTCTGTGCTCCCTGGTATCACAAAGGAGGAAGTCACTTTTGTTCAAGTTTATTCTTTTTTCACAGCCCTGAGCTTAGAGGACTTTTACATTGTAGTTCTTGAACTGTTAAGGAAATCAACTGGCTCGATATCCTGGTGCCAAAAAATCTCAGCCTTTGCTTCTATACAGAAGACCCCCTGGGAAGTGAAATTTCACATGAGTTTATAATCCTTAAAGACAATCATCACTAGTTATGACCAACTGACAGATCCCAGCCACAGCACTTCCTGGCCCATATTTCATGTTAATCCCTTAATAATCCTGTGCATGATAATCATGATTCCCATTTTACAGGTGAGAAAACATGCCACTTTGCTGGAAGATATGTTAGATCTTTATTAGACTTTCATTTTGCTACTCCTGGAGAAAAGTGTTCTGGATTTTCCAGGCTAAGTCAAAAGTTTACTATAAGTAGTAAATGCTGTTGGGAATCCAGTATTCAAGTTAATACAACAAACAACACACAATCCTTATGTGTACGTTTGAAATGGAGTTAAAGATAGCCTGCGTGTAGTAAACGACACTCCTTATTTGTAAAGCTAAGAGGCTGTTCTTCTGGCTGTTTCCATCTTAATTGCACAAGGACTCTTACAAGGTACATATCCAATCATCTCCATGCTGTTATCATAATTACATGCAAAGAATTCTAGTTTTCCTAGGGAAGGATCAAGGCTGTAGAGGGGGGAAAAGATTCACGGAGTTTCTCTTTTTCATCAGAAGTGTTCATAGTAGCAAGGCTTGGCTATGCGCGTGCTGATTGGGAAGTTTTCTCTCTAGAAGGCCAAATGGAGGGCTGAGGGAGGTGACTTGGGGATGGCAGGGAAGAACTGGGAGAGGGATGAGGTCAGAAGCTCTGGCCAGCAGTCAGAGAGGGCAGGCCTTGGCGGCCTCTGGTTGTAGGGTTTGAGGCCATAAAGGACAGCACTGGCTGACTGCATGGACTGTGGGTCCGGGACAAGCAGAGCAACTCTACATCATGCTGAAAAACTTGCACAGGTGGCCATTCAAACTTAAATTAATTACACTGAAACACAATTTAAAATTCAGTTCCTCTGTCAACAGTCCATGCGGCTAGCCGCTAAGGTCTTGGAAAGCATGGGTTGACTGCCATAATTGCAGACAAGTTGTATTAAACTGCCTTGCTTGAGAGTCTAGATTGTAGAAGTCAACACTTAAAACCCCTGAAGTTTAATTATTACCAGGGAAGTAGATATTACAGAGTGGTTAAGAGCACAAAAACTCGGGGTGCCTGGGTGGCTCAGGGGGTTAGGCATTCGACTTCGGCTCAGGTCATGATCTCGCAGTTCGTGAGTTCGAACCCCGCTTTGAGCTCCATGCTGAGAGCCCGGAGCCTGGAGCCTGCTTTGGATTCTGTGTCTCCCTCTCTTTTTGCCCCTCCTCCACTCACAGTCTGTCTCTCCTTCTATCTCTCAAAATACAAAGAAACATTGGGGCGCCTGGGTGGCTCAGTCGGTTGAGTGTCCAACTTCAGCTCAGGTCATGATCTCACGGTTCAAGAGTTTGAGCCCCGTGTCTGTGCTGACAGCTCAGAGCCTGGAGCTTGCTTAGGACTCTGTGTCTCCCTCTTTCTGCCCCTCCCTTGCTTGCACTCTGTCTCTCAACAATAAATAAATGTTAAAAAAAAATTTTTTTTTTTTAAATATAAAGGAACATTAAAAAAAAAAAAAAAAAAGAGCACAAAAACTCTGCACTCAAACTTTCTACACTCAAGTCCTGGCTCCAAGCTTTGCTAGCTACATGATTTTGGGCAAATCACTAACTTAATTTCCTCATCTGTGAAATGGGGATGATAGTCGTGCTATCTTTACAAGGGTTGGTGAAGATTCAGTGGGCTAATGCACATAAAGCACTTATGACAGTTTTGAACACGTAGCCAGTGCTATTTAGGTGTTAGCCCTTAACGTTACTCGTTCCATATGGAAACATACTTCTATCATTTTGTATCTCCTACTGGGGAATAGACGCGAACTGATTCACACAATCCTTTCTATGTCCCCTTGCCCCACGAACCAAATCTTTTCGGGATCGGTTCACTCTCCTGTCAGCATGAGTACGTGTGAGACCAGAGGTAAGCTCTGCTCCTTACTTGTACAGCAGAATGTCAGCGGCCTGGAGCACTGGGTACGTGAGCAGGCCCGCGGTTCCGCCATGCTTCTGGGTGGCAGTCTTTGCCTGTGTGGTGAAGAGAGAGGAGAGAATGAAATCCGACATGCACCTAATTATATTGCTAAATAAAGAAATCTTTAAAGCACGCAAAAGGTAATCTGAAGCTACCAGGACTAGCATTATATCTCAGTTCCTTTTAGCAACACTAGCCATGGGGCTGGCTTGTCTTCATGCTGCAGGCTCAGGCAGGAATAAGGGACATCTACTTCACCACTGCCCCTCTAACGGGTCCTGCACGGCCACTATTTCTTATCCATTTAATTAAAACAAGCGTATAAGAGTTTCTGGTTTTTGGGGAGCCCTGGGGGCTCAGTCAGTTAAGTGTCTGGCTTCGGCTCAGGTCATGATCTCATGGTTCTGGGTTCGAGACCCGCGTCAGGCTCGCTGCTGTCAGCACAGAGCCCGCTTTGGATCCTCCGTCCCCCTCTTTCTCTGCCCCACCCCCCTGCTTGCACTCTCTGTCTCTCAAAAGTAAATTAAAACATTAAAAAATACACAAATAAAATGAAAAAAAAAAAGGGGGGGATTTCTAGTTTCTAAATCAGATGAACTCTGTATTTCACAAGTAAGGTCAGAAAATATAATGAAATTAGATTCCTGCAAATTAATTAATTTGATAAGTTAACATCAAACACCATATCGTGTCTGTGGAAACCTCCCTGAAAGTCTCACCCTGTGCTGTTGACCAAAATGTGAGGTCCCCCTTAAAATCACATTTAAAAAACCAAGCCAAGGGGCGCCTGGGTGGCTCAGTCGGCTAAGCGTCCGACTTCGGCTCAGGTCATGATCTCACGGTCTGTGAGTTTGAGCCCCGCATCGGGCTCTGTGCTGACAGCTCAGAGCCTGGAGCCTGCTTTGGGCTCTGTGTCTCCTTCTCTCTCTGCCTCTCTGCCTCTCACGCTCTCTCTCTGTCTCTCTCAAAAATAAATAAACATTAAAAAAAAATTCTTTAAAAAACCAAGCCAAACCAAACCAAAAACAAAAAGTTGTGGCATTTAAAAAACGAAACTAAGAGAAAATTTTAATCTAATCAATTGTGAATCTGTCTTGGTCTGTAGGTACTGAAAACTAGAGGGCATAAAGTGATTCCAGTGTACAAGACAGACTGTATAGATGAAAAGTGTTTCCTTAATGGGGAAGCTGATAGTAACACCAGAAGAGATACGACAAGTATTTAATTAATGGATACCAACCACAAGCTACGAGTATGTACCCACCGAACATAAGCCCTAGTGATAGCATTTCCCTTGCCACAGCTAAGCATTGATAACAGGTAATTTGGGCAGAACATTTGGTAACAGTGCTCTGGGCAGAACTACTTAATAGGGAATATTGCATACAGTTTACTGGTCATTGCTTCAAGGCCTAAGCATCTCTCTTGTAAAATGAAACATGGTTATTTTGGTGTACAGACATTATTCATTTAGTTAATATGAATCACTTCCCTGAGGTCTGATTATTTCTGAATGAACTGAACAACTGAATATATACACTTGCATGATTCTGAGGACCAAGTTCATGGGCTCACCACTCGGGCTTCCCCAACCAACATGCAGATACACCCTTTGAGTCTGGGTTTGAAAAGCAACAGCTCCTCTTTAACCCTCTTAATGTCAATGTTCCACAAGTCAGGTACAAAGTTAACTCTTTAGGTTACTTCAAGTAGTTTCTGGCTTATAGCATCTAATGCTATAAGGCATTCAAAGGAAACTTGAAAAGTTTGAACGTATAATTCCTTCAGTACATCTCTTGATTACAATGTCCACTACAAAGCCCAGTTTGCAATGATCACTGGGTAAAGATAATGAAAGCTCAATTTGGAAATGAGCAAATGGGAAAAGAACCCAGTTTTTAAAAACTGTTACTGCATTAGCTTCCTAGTCTTTCTATATTAGAATACTGGATCTCGAAATTACAAAGGAAGGGGGAGATGTGGAGAGCATTAATATTTATTGAGTGTCTATTATGTGCCTCAGATGCCTTACATCTGTGTTACTCCCTGTAGAATCTTCCAAATAACCCTGACCTCAAGCAACACTGACTCCACCTTTCTACCCTACTATCCCCCCTAATCAAAACCAAGCTAGGTGCTCGGAGATCCTTCTACAGTCCTGGAACTCTCCCCTCTGATCACTGTTCACACTTTCTGATGGCTTGTGTAATTGTCTCTGCCCAAATAGATGACAAGCCTCATGAGAGTGGCTCTGTCCCTCCTGTTGACTGCTGTAACCCCAGCGCCTAATGTGATACGAGACTTGATGGTATTTGTTAATGAAGGAATGACCAGAGAAGGCAGGAACACGCTCTAGGATAAGGCTGGCATTTGAAACCCATGTTTTTCCCCACAAATAAAATATCATGGACTGGAGGGAAGGCTTCTCCAGAATATAGGTTTCCCCTGCTACCTGAAAGTTCTCATTATGCCACTTTGCTTTTGCAAATGACTTACGGTAGTGCCTGCTTTTGATAACTGGAAGAAATCGGAAGAGGATTTTCACCTTTCTGAAGTAGTACTTGCTTCTTGGTTCTACTCCACTGTGGCTTATGAAAGAGGAATGTTCTAGTTTTGGGTAGTGGGGGAAACCATCTTGTGCATTCACTAGTAATGTGTTATCAGGAGCTCCTCGGACACGATTTTAAAGTGGGAACATTTCCCATTAAGTTAGTATTCAGTTCTTATAAAACGGATTGCAGTATTCAACTTAGAGTATTATGATCAAATGGCAAAGTCTTGCCTAAAACCAAGATATGGTAGAAAACATTAAAAAATTTTGTTTCTAATTCCTGGCAGGTAATGATTCTACAGTATTAACTCTACCTCTTATTTAGGCCCGGCCGCTTGAAAGCTCTGATTCTTGCTGAGACTCACGTGGAGGTTTCTGGACCAGCTTTTGAAGAAACCAATGGCCCTGAAAATATGCTGGAAAGAAGCTTGAAACTGAAATTCAAGGCTGACATACATGGGGGCTACCTACCCTCAGGTTATCCAACTGCAAAAATAAATGGGAGTGAAGTACTATGAATTATCCACTTTATCTTTCTCAGTTGAGCTTTCTAGAAAAAGTACAGCCTTCATTTTTCTGTGGGTTTGAACTGTTGCCTGGACTCAACCTGTATAAATGTTAAATAAAATATGTTGTTTCCTCTCCCCACAATGGAAACATTTGAGACTGACTGCCAGTTAATTACAGTGGAGATGGGAGGCAACTTCAGAGCCCAGTAATCCAGAAATTGTGACTGTCTGTTAATTATAATGTTCTAAGTCATTACCAAATCTATCCAAAGATCGCTCTGATTCAACCTACACAGATAAAATCAAATAGTTAATAAGTTGGACATTTTTATCCTGTTTTTTTTATTAAAAATTTTTTTAAGTGTTTATTTTTGAGAGAGAGAGAGAGAGAGAGAGAGAGACAGAGCACAAGCAGGGAGGGGGGCAGAGAGGGAGACACAGAATCCAAAGCAGGCTCCAGGCTCTGAGCTGTCAGCACACAGCCCGATGCGGGGATTTGAACCTACCAACCGTGAGATCATGACCTGAGCCGCAGTCGGACGCTCAACCGACTGAGACACCTCGGCTCCCCTATCCTATTTTTAAGTTGAAATTTTGGAGAACTCTCTTACTTCCCATTTAGGACCCTGAGGCAGAGAGGTTAAAATGCTGTTCTAGCCACTAGTGAGTAACAGACCAGGGAGGCGAGTAAACGCAGGATTCCCAGAGCCTAACACAAATATAAACAGGAGAAAAAAATAGCTTTGAACTCCTTATTTATTAATCAGATCACCAGCATTTACCTTCCACTGGTGTAAATGCTGTAACCGGGGCAGTCTGACCAGGCAGGTAAGGATCCAACTCAACTGTGTGTGTTCAGACACCTAAAGAAATAAAACAGAACGTTAGCGAAGGTGGTCAACGTTTTCTTGCATATAAGGCAAGAGTAAACAGGTGTTACCTCAAGTGACGGAAAGTGCAAATCAAGGTAATTTAAAAAACGACAGGCAAAGGGGGCTGATTCATAATGCACAGCATTTGAGATGAAGAAGAAAAATTTAAAACTAACCAATACAATTACTATTCTAGTGTTTAGATCTTCACGACATCCCTAGCAAGTGGCTGGCCAGACTCTGCTTCAAGGTCGTCAGTGAAAGGGCTTCATTATGTCCCGACGCATCCTTTCCATCTTTAAAAAGCCAGGAAATTAACACATGCATGCGCGCACACACACACACACACACACACACACACACTCTCTCTCTCTCTCTCTCAAATCCTCTTTAAATAACTTATAAATATGTGAAAGCAACTATAATACCTTACATGTAAATAGTATTAGGAGAGGAAGGTTCTGGCCTAAAAATCAGTGATTGAATCTCTTAGATCTGGAGTAATTAGAAATTTGCTAATCACTTCATCATTCCAAAGGTGTTTTGTTTTGTTTTGTTTTTTTCGTTTCCATTTTCCTCCTCCTTCCTTCTTCTTTTGTGCTCCATTCTCCCTCTCCTCCTCCCTCCATCTTCTTTTTAAAAAGAGCTGTAGTCAACAAGAGAATATAACCTTTTCTCAATTTGTTTTAACCAAATTTAATCAAGTAACCAAACCTGGCAACAGCTGGGATGATTCCTGGGTCCAGGCCAGGTTCCAATTGATGACTTAGAATTTAAGGCTAAGTATCCCATTTCTGGACTCTGGGGATTCCGAGCCCTTCATCCACTGTGGCTTTTTTTGGTGTCCATATGATTTCCTTAAAAAGCAGAGACTGTTGCCAACTCTGAAAAGTGGCCCCAAATGTGTTCTTTGTGGGTTTTGCAAAGGGAACATGAAGCACTGGGGCCCAGTCAGCCCTGGCCCATTTTACTAGCAAGGAATCACCATCTGGTGTAAGATAGTTTCTCATTTTTTTCCTCGAGTCATGGAGAGGGAAGAGTTGTTTTTCACATGTTTGACAAGGAATTGCTTTTAAAGTTTTGCAAGTCACTGGGCTGAATCCGTCATCTTTCTTCCAAGAGGCATTTGGGTTTCATTGAGAACAGCACTGTCCATACAAATTGCTAACTGCTGCTGTAAACAAACAGCTAACAGACAAAAACAGTAACCCTGCATGGGAGCAGGAGGATTATAGTTGCTTCCAATCACCAAGCAAAACACATTCCCATTAGAACTAATAAAACAAGAGTTGTTTTCTTGGCATGAAGAGGTAGGAGAAAATTTTTTTTCTCCTTTACTGAATTAGAGAAAGGAATGAAAATACAGAAAAATAACCATGCATATGTAGAAAGAGACGAGACGACTGACTCCTTTCCTTCAACTTGGCCTTCAATGCTCAGTTTTGATGATATGCAAAAAGCTTCCACCGTGTTTTCATGAAATCAAGTATTTTCCTTGGAGTGGCTTTTTTATTTGAACATATGGAATGAAACCTACTTAATATTATACAGTGATCTTCCTGGTATTTCCATATAAGGGGGCATAAGAATAATCCAAATTATTCTTATACAGAAAAAGGTAGGTAAAGAGTCAAAGGCAACTTTCAGATCATTTGTATCATTAATCATTTATCATTAATAATTGTATAAGAAGGGGTAAAATACTTCAGGATTTGGCTCTCTTAATGTATCCATATTCACAACAACTGCTTGGAAAGGTTCAGATTTCTGTCTGGGGAGAAGTGGAAACAGTATCTAAATATAGTCATTCCCACTAAATGTTGTGAAACAAACAAAATAACAATCTGATCTGTTTTAGCTACAGAAAAATAAAAGCATGGGACACAGAAGGTGGCTTGTCAACCACCCACAAGCAAGTCAGCAGGGCCCGAAAATTCTGATCCCCGAGTTGTAACAAGTGAAGATACATACATCCTTCAGCTGTAGCAGAAAAGCAGAGTCTGGCGCCCTGTGCTCAGTAAATACTGGCTGAATGCATGAACAATACCAAAGGCTGCGGGAAGAAAGGTAAGGGCCCAGAAGAATCCATTCCATTTAGTAACAGACTTGGTGGTCCAGGCAAAGCAGTTTCAGCCGAGTGAGTGGGATGGGAGCTAAATTAAGGAGGGGTGGGTTGAAGTGTGACAAGGTGGCAGGAAGGCAGATTACACAAGACGTGTAGCCGAGTGAAGAGCTCTACCTTTGCAACGAGGCTGCCCGGATCTGAATGCTAAGCTCTGCCACGTGTAAGCTGGGTGACCCTGTGTAAGTGACTCCATCACTCTATGCCTGTTCTGTCAATGTATAAAATGAGGTTAGCGACAGTATCCACCTGACAGTGCTTAGAACAGTACCTAGCACACAGCAAGCACTCAATAAATGGTAATTACTCTTACGGATAAGTTTCAGAAAGACTTTTAACTTTCTATTTTGAGATAATTGTAGATTCACATATAGCTGTAAAAAAATAATACAGTGCAACCCAATACACCTTCACCCAATTTCCTCCAATGGCAACATCTTGCATGACTAAACTACAATATCACAACCAGGAAATTGAATTGGATACAATCCATCTACCCTATTCAGATTTCACCAGTAGTATACTCACTCATTGTGTGGGTATATTTAGTTCCGTGCAATTTTATCGCATACGTAAGATATTCCTTCTTTAAGGAAGGAGAGAGATGGGAATAATAACTAGTAGGGGTTAGAGAATACAAATTTTATTTTGTTTTTTAAGGTGGGATAGACGCACTTTCTATGAAATGTCTTCCGCTGAAGCAGGAAGAGGGGAAATAAATACAGATGAGGATCTATTTTATGGGATAGGAGTGGAGAGCAAAAAGTTAGAGAATTTCACATCTAATAGGCTCTGTTATCTCTGAAAATAGAAGACAGTCCAGTAGAAACAAATGGGATGAGAAAATATACTCAATGGAATTGCTGGGTTTGATCCTAAGGCTTGATGTTTTGTGGATGCTTTTGTGAATGAAAGAGGACAATCGTTCATAAAATACACTCTTGGGAAAGCACTGTTGTTCGTCAAGGTAGACTAAAATATTCTTCATAAATCGTAGGTGCTTTTAAAACTTTGCAGAAAAAATTAAATCAGTTGATTGCATTTGATTTCCTTTAGCCAGCAAAAAATCTTAACAGGATCCGATAACTACTAAACGTAAATAGCAAAGAATATTGATAAATTAAACAACATCAAGTTTACTAAAATTTTATCAAACACTACCATTTATTTTTTTTATGAAATTTATTGTCAAATTGGTTTCCATACAACACCCAGTGCTCATCCCAAAAGATGCCTTCTTCAATATCCATCACCTACCCTCCCTTCCCTCCCACACCCCATCAACCCTCAGTTTGTTCTCAGTTTTTAAGAGTCTCTTATGCTTTGTCTCTCTCCCAATCTAACCTCTTTTTGTTTTCCTTCCCCTCCCCCATGGGTTTCTGTTAAGTTTCTCAGGATCCACATAGTATCTGTCTTTCTCTGTATGGCTTATTTCACTTAGCATCACACTCTCCAGTTCCATCCACATTGCTACAAAGGGCCATATTTCATTCTTTCTCATTGCCACATAGTACTCCATTGAAACACTACCATTTAAAGAGGGAAAAGACATGGGGCGCCTGGGTGGCTCATTTGGTTAAGTGTCCGACTCTTGATTTCGGCTCAGGTCATGCTTTCATGTTGTGAGTTTGAGCCTTGCATCAGGCTCTGCACTGACAGTGTGGGGCCTGCTTGGGATTCTCTCCCTCTTCCTCTCTCTTTCTGCCCCTCCCTCACTTCTACTTTCTCTCTCGTTCAAAAATAAATAAATAAACTTAAAAAAAAAAAAAAGAAGGAAAAGACAAGTCACAGTGTGGAAGGAGATATTTGTAAATCTACACAGAATATATTGATATACAAAATATAAAGGATTTCTACAAATTAATTAGAAAAAAGCAGATAGCACCATAAAAATGGACCAAATGCATTAAGTTCAAATTAAAGTCATAATGTGACCCCATACATACACATCAGAATGATTAAAATGAAAAAGTCAAATAAAACCAAGTATGGCAAGGATACTGGGTACATTTAATACTTTTCACTACTGTGAGAATGTAAATTGGTGTACCAACTTTGAAAACTGACTGCATCTACAGTTAACATTCATATAACAAACGGCCCAGTTGTTCCATTTCTAGGTATATATCTAACAACAGTATGCACATATGTTTGCAAAAATATATGTGCAGAATGCACTGTAACAACCCCAGATTGTAAGCGATCCAAATGTCCACCTACATAGGATTGATAAATTGTGGTATATTCATACAATGAAATACTATAGCAATGAGGATGAATGAACTATTGCATTCAACAACATGAATGAATTTCATAAATATAATGTTGAGTGAGAGAAGCCAGACACAAAAAAGTATATACTAAATAATTCAAATTATATCAAGGTTTAGAAACAGGTTATTTGGAAAGGGGCATGAAGAACATTCTGGGTACAAGTTCATGGGTGTGTTCAGTTTACAAAAATAGATAAAAAGCTAGCAAGTCTACATTTGTTCTTGAATAAGATAAAATTTTTGGTGTTTCACTCAACATTATGTTTATGAAATTCATTCATGTTGTTGAATGCAATAGTTTACTCATCTTCATTGCTATAGTATTCCATTGTATGAATATACCACAATTTATCCTACGAAGGTGGACGTTTGGATTGCTTACAATTTTTGGTGTTTAAAATAAGGTGGAGGGACTTCTGGAATGGCAGAGGAATACCCTCTGACAATCTGCTCTTCCATAAAAGCAATGAGACCACCAGCACAAATTGTCAAAGGCAATTTTTATAGAATTCTGGAAAAGGAACCAAAGGCTTGCCATAATGGCAAGAGTACCTACTTCAGAAATAATCTGAATCTCAGTGAAAACAGAGTTGTGC